GGGGGGGGAGGGAGGCTGTTGCTTGACGATTGTTTTCTTCTGTTAGGTAATTCTGAGTTCAACAGACATCCTCATGCCAGTCGGTCTTAGTCATGTATACATCAGTAACAACTTGTAAGTTTTCACTTCTTATGTCTTTATTGTGTTGGAACACTCAAGGGCATTATTTTATTTAATCCCTCTATCAGCCCTATGAGGCAGGTACTAGGTGCTATTACCATGTCTCTGGTACAGATGGGAAACCAGGCCAAGAGGGGCCAAGTCACAAGCAATGCGTCTAGATCACAGGGTTAGTAAAGTGGTGAATGCAGGGTTCAAATCCAGGGCCACCAAAGTCAGGTTCAGACCACTCCACAGCTCGGTCTTGTGGGAACCTCATTTCAACTGTCCTCCTGATCTTCCCAGTGCCAATGCAAAGAGTCTCCCCCTTTTGCTCAGCATCCTCGCCTTTCGTAAGTGGGTCCTTTAGATTTCACACAGAAATAAGACATCATTTTCTCTGTTGACACGACTTCTTAGACACACCCTGAAGTCTGAGAAATCAGAAAAATATATAGTCTAACAAGGAACATGATAAACACATACCCCATCATAGACAAGAGCTTTCCAGGAATGTTCTAGCTTCTTCATTAACCTAAACATAAACAGACAGAAAAATAAAAAGGAGAATGTAAAATCATCCCCATTTGGTGGATTTTCAGTACCTTTTGTTGATTTATTTTGAAATAATGAAAGGCTACTTTCCCAAATTTCTTACCTATATGATTGCAGAATGTCAATAATGCCCATAAATAAAAGTAGTTTTTCTCCCTTATGGCTTTTAGCTGGAATGCCTCCCATTCTGTTGAGAGAGAAAATATTTTACAACATACTATAATGGGAAGTTAAAAATCACTTCTAATAAATAGACTGTAAACAAAAATGGACAACTTTAAGAATTCTGGACTCGCTTGCCCTCTTTTTTTTTTTTTTCCTCGGGTAAAGTCTTCCTGGGAATCCTGAATGCTGACCTTCCCACACAGGAGAATGAAACTATAGCTGTCAACTCAGGACAGCCTGATGGGAAGAATCCAAACAAAAAATTATTCCTATTTTTAAAACCATGAGCACGAATTTTTAAAGTATTTTGAAATCCTGCCTTTTAAAAATGCAACACTTTTACATATTTGCTGTGAGATGTAAAATATTTAAAAGAACCCATTCCTAGGATGCAGAGGACGCCTATTAGCATTTGGCACACCTTTCCAGTGTCAATGTGGGTGTATATGTATCTATTAGTCCACCAGAGCAATGATTATCATGCTTTATAACCTGAGTTTTTCACTTGCTAAACGATATACATTTGCTTGTATTCAATGCTAATGTGTTTTTTAATGGCTGGAGTAGTTCACTATACTGATTGATATAGAATACTTTAATTGATTATTGGGCATTTAGATACACTTATAAGCAAGGATTTTTTTAAAAGTTTGATATGTATGGATTTCCTGTATAAAAGTGAAATACGCCTGTGATTTAGTCATTGTTGGAGACTCCTAGAAGGCGATCACTAGTGGCCAAAATGATGCCTTCCGTTCAGTCTCCTGTACAGTTGGTAAACGCACATGACAGTCAGCCATTTCAGTAATTCTCTTTGGTTGCAATTGTTCCTGTTAGTCAATATGTACTTGATACGTGCAAACGAATCCTGCAGTTATGAGCACATCTGGCTGAGGCAAGAGACCACATCTGCCAGGGTAGAGGATCTAGAATAAGAGAATCCTCTTATGCAGATGAGAAGGTCTGAATTATGAATGTAATTCCTATCATGTGTTTGCTTAAATACGAGTTTATTGAAATTCAAAGTATATTCTCCCTATTGTGGTAGACGTTTTGAATATGGAGCCAAAAGGCGTAAAAACATTTTCAGCCATTGTTCAGAAATGGAGCCATTTGAAAAAAGAAACCACACGGGAGAAAGAATGGTAATAACTCGAAGAATTGCCATGCATCTAGTTACCCGGAGATGAACAGAAATGAAGGCTGCTCAATCCATGTTAGCACCAGGTAGGAATCCGTTCTCAAAGAGCCACCGTGAAGGGAACGTGATTGCATTTAATCACCCATCGCTGTGGCCTGCCACAACCAGGAGGGGGGGCAGGTGGGTGGGCACACTTACGTGTCCAGGTTCTCTGTGATGATGCCATCTCCAGATTTCCCCGGACCCTGGATGGACTCCATCGCTGTGGAGTAGAGGACCTTCTGCATCCCAGACCTCTTAGCATCAGGCACATTTTGTGAGTTCTCCTCTTCTTTCTCTTTGAGGGAATGGTCCAGGATGTGGATTCCCAGCAAAAGGCTATAGTCCATGATTTTGAAGCTTTCCAGCACCTGAGTAAGAAAAAGAACCAGGAGGCCGGTCAACTGAAGTAGCTCCTAAGTCTCATCTGCAGAGAATCAGAAAGCTCTAGATACGCAGATGCACAGCTCCTGCGTCCCTTCCAGGGAATGGCTGATACAGGAAAAATCAAAATAAAAACACTTGAGATTATTACTAGGTCATATTCAATAAGGATTATCACAATGGCTCCAAGATGGTGTTTTTTTAATGCAAATCTAAAGCAAGCACAGCTTTTCCTAACCCTCCATGAATGCTTCACTCATAACATTTATTGAACACTTCCCCCATGCAAGGTTCTAAGTAGGTCACTCAGATCCAAACCTCACAACTCTTTGAGCTAGGTACTATTATTGTTTCTATTTTACGGATGAACAAATTGAGACAGAGGGAGATAAAGTAATTTGTTCAATATCACACTGTTTATAAGTTGCACTGTCGGGATGTGAACCCTGGGCAGTCAACTCCAGTGGCCATACTCTTAAACATTAGAGCACAGACACCTCCAACTAATGGTCTCTATATGCATGTATCCTCCTCAGCAGGAGGACTCAGCCGGAATGTGTTTTTGTCTGGATTCCGTTCTCCAAATCTTAATCTTGCTGGAGTTCTGTGGTCTCCTTTGGAAAGCTGGTCTTTCACAGTTGCCATTCGGTTCCCAGTAGAAGTGTTTTTAAAAATTAGGGTCTCAACAAATAACAGGACTTCATGCTTAGTTATCCACTCAGCCAACAGTGGGGAAGAGAAGAATTAAGAGTAGCTGGATGCGGGGCGCCTGGGTGGCTCAGTCATTAAGCGTCTGCCTTCGGCTCAGGTCATGATCCCAGTGTCCTGGGATCGGGCTCCCTGCTCTGCGGGAAGCCTGCTTCTCCCTCTCCCACTCCCCCTGCTTGTGTTCCCTCTCTGGCTGTGTCTCTCTCTGTCAAATAAATAAAAAATAAAATCTTAAAAAAAAAAAAAAAAGAGTAGCTGGATGCAGCCAGACAAAGGAGGGAGAGATGCTCTGACAGGAAAATGGCGGGAGATAAGGTCAAGGGAAGAGGCATTCAACATGGCTTCCCAGTGTACGTGGGGCTTCTTCCATGGAGGAAGAGTATTCAGGAGGGTATGAAGATGGGGCGTTCTCCTCTATGATAAGGTTCTTCTCCTAGTGGGTTGTATATGATTCTCCTCCCCAACAGGTTTTTTAATGCCTGGCATTTCTCACACAAAGCTGCTCAGGAAATCAAAACAACCCAGAAATTAAGACAAGCCTGCATGGCAGAACAGTTGTCTCTGAATCAACATGATAATCTGTCCCCATGCCCCAGTTAGGAAATGTCTTTTAGGAGCAGAGTCTATGGATAATTCTTTACCCAGAGACTGAATACCCAGAATTCCATAGGCTTTTCTCATTATTCCTCACCCAACTGCTTATTTATTTAAAAAAATTTTTTTAATTTAAATTCAATTTAGTTAATACATGGTGTATTACTAGCTTGAGGGGGGCCCAACTGCTTTCTGACCAGACATTTATGATACAGAGGCAGCAAACAGGCATTGGACCTGAGGATTCGCATAACTGTGGCTGTCACTTGATGGATACCCTCTGAAAGGGGGTTTTGTGAACTACGACATAGGTGGCCTTCCAGAAATATGGTCATCCCTGGGTCTCATGCATCTTTGCCATCAATGAGGAAAAATGAAAGGGGGCTGCACGTGAGTATCAATTATTCATCTCTCAGTTTACTCAATTAAGTACTTTGAGAAAGGAGGTAGGCAAGAGCTGAGAGTAGAGTCTTATCATTTAGAAGGTTTAGGCCATGGCATTTTCTAACCCAAGAGAGTGGCCTGATAGCCATGTGGACCAAGCTTCCCTAACCTAAGAAGAAGTGGAGCCAAGACTGAAGGAAGAGGGAAGGATGTCAGGAAAAGTTCCCCACCACTGACCCAATGATTTGGCATCAGACCCATTGGCTGGTTCTCCAGGGAGGTTTATCAGCACCTTTCTCACCCCTCCATAAAACAGCATGGAGCCATGTAAGAAACCAAGTCAGCTTTGCATCACGGTTGCCAAGGACCCAACCTCTTAAAGAGAAACACTAACAGACACTGAATGCTTTCTTCTCAAGAGTAGAAGGACCTTGGTCTTTGTACCTGTCAGCCATACTGAAAGGCTTGGGAATAGCGCCCTCTCAGACGGCGTCATAATCCTGCAGTGGGATCACCACCTGCAGATGCCAGCTTTCCGACTTACATGTATCAGAGCTCGTGTGTCCCTTAGAGAGATCTGCGGTAGGGACATAAAGCATAAAGAGCATGGACTCTGTGACCTAGGCGGGTTACATCACCTCCCTATGCCTGTTTCCTCCTCTGTAGAATGCCGACAATAATCTTACATACTGCAGAGTTGTAAAAATTCAACATGGAAATGCAGATAAAGTGCCTGGAAAAATTCTCGGTACAGGGAAAATGCTCAATTAATTGGTAGCTACCTTCATCCTAATTATAAGTCACGGTGACTCATGGCTCACACTCGGGTGAGAGGCTACAGAAGTCGTCTTGATGTAAACACCCTTGAAATTACACTTCTGACCACAAAAATGCACAAAAAGCCCACAAAAATATGACTGCACTTTGGGCCAGCTTACCAGCTCCCTTTTGGGCCTCTTTAAAAGTTCTGGGTTGAGTGTTCAACAGGAAACGGTCAGCTGGCTGCACCACAGTTCTGGTCAATGGGCTATAAAATGACGGCCTCACCATCCGTCTGGGCGAACAGTCGCATTTTCAGTGAGCAAAAATCACAGCCTCATGCCCTGCACAGCCCAGACTACCCACTGGTAAATGTCCCCACAAAGCAGTACACTGGCTTCAAAAGCAAATTCTAATCAGACCCTGTGACAACACTGTGAGTGTTCCTACCAGGCATCCAGGGTGGTTTAAAGCGAGGTGTGGGCAAACAGAAAGGTTCTCCTGAGAACATCACACTTCTTTCTTTCTCCTCTGCAAAGCATCTGCAAGTGAGTTCTGCTTGTTAAAAAGCTTTCTTTATGAAATATTTTTCCTTATATTTTCAATGCAAGATTCAACCTGAACCATCTGTTTGTACTTACAGCCTCTTCTTCTGCCTAAGGACAGGCCAAAGGGAACAGGTGCATTTTATAAGCGATACAAAGTCAGGCTGGGGTCCAATTTTAACTCCTTTAAGTGGCCAAGTATTTGTCCTGGCTTATTTAAAAAAACAGAACAAAACAAAACAAAACAAAAAAACAAAAGCAAGCCTCAAGAGAGAATTCACTATGAAAAAGCTACACCTAAATTTTTTAAAAGAGAATCATTTTCTCTGTACTCTCAAACTGGATCGGCAGAGTCCCTGAAGGATACTGAATTGTCTTTAGGAGGCCAGGCCCCTACTTTCAGAGTGAAAAGCTTAAAAAAGATAAATTCTATTCCCACTGTGTGGGAAGTTGACCATGATAGTTTGATAGTTTGATAGTTTGATTTTGGGTTAGGTAAAGTCACCATCTACCAAAAAAAAAAAAAAAAGTTAAGGAAGAAAAAGAGAAACATATAGGCATATAATTTAAGTCAAATTCAAAAACTTCCATAACGAAAAATTCTGGGAACAGATTTTAGTCACGTGCACTGCAGATCTGCATCAATTAGGAACAAAATAGTTATTCATATCCTCCCGGTTCCTTAATTAAAGGAATCAAATACATCTGCCAAAATCTTAGCATGTGTGAGCCTTGAGAGTGTGCAACATTCTGAAACATGACAGACACCCATCAGTCAAGTCTGTCACTCAGGCGCGAAAACTTTTTTTTTTTCCTAGAATGTCTGCCTGACCTGGCGGTTGCTGGTACATTCTATAGCTGTGTGTTTGCTACGCAAAACGGTATTTCTTGTCACAGCCAGATTTCTTCCCCTTCTCTCTCAAGGACTATTTTAAGACAATAATAATACTGGAAGATAGTGTAAAAAAAAAAAAAAAAAGGTCAATGTCGGAGCAGTTGGTATAATATCCTGAGGACGTGATCAAAACTCTCTGTTCCTGAAGAAAGCATCTTCTTCAGGTTATTATCGTCGGTGCTATGTTGGGAAGGCTCTTATTCACAGCGTTTCTACAGACCTGGTGACCCAATGTGAAAAATATCCTAATTCAGAATGACAGGCACTGCTGTCCCCTCTCCATGGCTAGAGGTCATCAAGAGTGCCTGCCCCTTTTCTGCCTCTGTGCCCACACTCACTGCACGCTGCTCTCTGTCCACCTGCTAGAAGGGGGAGCAGCTGTGCGGTGGTTGAGGCTCTAGGCTCTGGGTCCAGCTGGTCTGGTTTGACTCATGGCTTCCCCAGGGGTCCCTGGGCAAAGTACAGAGCTGTTCTGGGCCTTGCTGCCTCACCTGGAAAACAGAGAAAATGGGAACCCTGAGCTTACAGGGTTATTGTGCAGAACGAGTTAATCCACGTCAAGTCTTAGGACAGTAACTGGGATACAGAGAGCGCCCAATCAACGTGAGCTACTATTGTTGCTGTTCTTCCGCCCCCTGTTGGCTCATCCCTGCTGACCACGCCCCCTGGAAGCCCCGCTTGCCCTCAGCCCTTGTTCCCTGCCTTCCTATATGTCTTTGCCTCCCTTTCCTTTGGTGAACATCTTTGTTCTCTCTTAACGTTTTACCCTCTCTACTTTTCAGCACTGACATTCATTCACTCTTTTTGTTGGAGGAAAAAACTGAGCCTCTAGTCTGTCCCAGGCACCATGGAAGTAAAACAGACAAAAAGACCATCCTCAAAATTACACAAGCCTCAATTACAGATTGGAATAAGGCCTGGAAAGAGAAAGTCAGGGTGCTGTGGAGACATCTCACACAAGGGGTACCTATTTTTGACTGAGGAGTATTTCAACAGTCCAGATAAGAGACGGTACTTGAGGTTCCATACAAATTTTAGTGTTATTTGTTCTGGTTTGTGACTGGAATAGCCAAAGCTATCTTGAAAAAGAAGAACAAAGCTG